AGATTTCTCTACCTATATTTATTCATGTAGGATAGATGAGAAAGAAAGAAAAAGTGAGCGGCTTCCTCTTTTTTTCACTCCCATCTGCCACGGTGTGTTATTCCTTGGGGTGATTATTTTTGTGAGGATGTCATCAAATAAGAAATCTAATAGAATAGGACTGAATCCGACATCTGCCGTAATATATACATACAGAAAGAATAAGCGCAGTACAGATTAAGAATCCTCTAAATGTCTGATAAATATCAATTTCTAGAATGGTTATGTTCCGAATGTTACTGTTGAAGTGGGACATTTCTTTGACGAGCAGGCATTAAATTTAACTGAACACCCCAAGGACCAGAATGAATCTATATGTAATGAAAACGCACAAAAAAGGGAAGAAAACTCGGATGACGAAATTAAGGACAGGCCAAAACATATTCCGCAGAGAAATGGTAATACAATAGAGCGAGAATCAACAAACTATTTTCCTGAAATTGAAAACAGCCTGTATCATAACCCTCTACCAATTTACAATACTAAACAGAGGGAATTAGGACACCGGTATTTCCACAATTATAGACAACTTATATGAAAAGTCAGAGAAAAGTATAAACACAGTAGAGGAATTTTCCCAAAATTCGTACAACCCACCTCAGTTAAGTGAAGAATAGTACATCCTTTTCCATAGCCTTAAAAAGAAAGATATAAATGAAATAATCAAATCGGTGAATGATAATTTATTTAGGAAGATGATGCTTGACAGATGGATAAAACTGCACGAACATGCCAAAAAACCGGTGCACACGTTGAAGGACCATTTATCCTATTATTTGGGAAAATTAAAAAGTCCGTATAGCGTGGATGGGAACCTTGAGAGGGGACAAGTGCAGAGCACAAATGATACTATTCACACAACCATCAGCATCATGGAGGAGTATCAGAATAGACTGTTTTTCTACTACGTCATAGGGGATAAATTGCCGCACTGACATCATGACTCTCTTATAAATGTAAGCGAATGTGCGTTTATCTTATTTATAAAGGAGCTAGTTACTATGGAGGAGCGTCACTTAAATAGATGTGAAGTGGAGTGAGGAACACTCATGATGGAAGCCCACGGATGACGGTTGACAAGGACACATTGAGCGGTAGATACAGAGGTATATGCATATATATGTTGCTAAGAGGAGGAGACATATATACCCTTGTACATATGTGCTGATATATGCACTTAGTTGATAAGCTCCTTCTTATTGGAAAGAGGAGAGGAGTTGATTATACAACACGGTTTCAGCAATTATCGGTGCACCACTGCCATCGTGACTCTATTTTTTACCATGAAACGGTATTTAGCCATTGAAAGACAAATATATGTGCTGTGCGTATTTTGAGCGAGGCTGTGAATTAAATTTATATGTAAAGTTTGTCAATTTCGATTTCTTTAAATCATGATATAAGACTCATCATCGGATGTTCTAAACTCTTTTAATGTTTTTTTCTTTCTCCTGAAGCATTTATACGTACATGATATGCGTAGCTTGCTACGAATAGAATTTTACGATTACAGCTGTTGAAATTATTTAAGAGAAATTCTTTATTTTACTCCTTAATTGTGGTAAGGATTTAGAAAATTCATTTTTTTACCTGGTGGCATGTTTCATTGCGTCTATAAAATAGGTGATTAGAATGGAAGTAATGTTTTGAGGCTGTATAATAGCAGTGAGAATTTCCTGAATTCTAAGGTAAAGGTAGAAGGAGTACGACACCTGAAATCAGTGTACACATATAAATTAGGCATACTACCGTAACCTCAGATGTCAAGAATGCTACTACGCTTCATTCTTTTCGGTTAAATTTAGCATAATGTTTATATAATATGTTTTCAACTCGTACGAATTGCATTGATTGTTTCATTATTCATATATAATTTATTATAAATGGCAGAAATGGTAGACTTTTACATGGAAACAGGTCCAGAAGGAATTGCTAACAAC